TCTCCAGCCACGCAGAAGGGCTCTCAGAAGCCAGGAGCAGCTCTCCCCCGCTTTGGCTGCCCTGAGAACAAGAAGCAAAGCAGTCATTTGGAAACCAGCAGCCCAGCTTCAACTCACAAGGTGCCCCAATGATCTGACTCAGCCATCAGCCTAGACCTGTCCACACCAGGGTGCAGCTCTTGGGAGACCTTGCCCTTAACTTGTCACCCAATGGATATCTACACAAGTCCAAAAGACAAAACTTAAGGTCACCAAACGCTCCTCAAAGCAGGCAGCCAGCCTCAGCTGCAGGGTGAGCAGTTGGGTACTGCCCAAAGCAGGAGACATTCCTGCTCCCTTCAGACCCACATCTCCCCTCCTCAGCAGCCCCCACAGCACTAATTCTGCAGCCAGTAAAGCAGCCATCCGCCAAAATACCCAGCACATGACTAGCAGATGCCCTATGCTCCCTGCCAACCCAGAGGGGATAATTATTGACTTGCGGCACAGCTGGAGGAAGGGGGGGAGAGGAAGAAAGCAGAGGGGCTTTCACAATGGAAAGAGATTTTGCTTTTAAAACACTTAGAGGGGAAAGAAAAATAAATCATTCTTTAGAAGCAAAATCAGAAGGGGAGAAAGCACCAGTGCTGCCCCAGGCAGTGAGGGAGCAAAAACATGATTTCCCAGCCCAGAGTCAGCAAATAATGGGGAAATTCCTGCAAAGCCCAAGCCTGTAGATTCCTCCTGCTGCTCTTCACGCCCTGCCGTGCAGCTGCTCAGCCCCGGCCTCACTGTGCTCACCAAATAGCCATGCTGAACATGGGCTGCCTCCCCAAGCAGGAGCTGCGAGGTCCCCAGGTCCTGCCCAGGAGAAGCGAGCACCGCGTGTTTGTGCACCCATAGGGATGACCCACTTAGCACAAAAAGTTTATTTGTTGTTGTGGTTTTTTTTGTTATTATTGTTAAAGCAGAGAAGCCAAAGAAACCAGACACGGGGCCAGTTCAGCTGTGCTGTTCGTGGGAGAGGATAAACATGGTGCAGAGAGCACGAGCGGCAGGGGGGAGCAAATTCCCAGCAGGGATGTGCCCTGATGCGTTAGCACCCAAGGCCATCTGCTTTTAGGACAGGGAAGGAGCTAAAGAGATTACAGTGGCAAGGAGGGCAGCTAGAGACAGACAAAGAGATCCTCCGAAAACGTATGCTCAGCTGGCAGCAAAGGGCACTCAGCCTGATGCAGTGCTCACACGGCTGTGCTCACCTTCAGAACTGCAGAAGCACAACCAGAGCACCACAAGCAAAGCTGAAGTAATGGCAAAGGCTGGTGATTTCCAGGCACAAGACAGATGCCGGGAAAGCAATCTTTGCTGCTCTTGCTCAGATTTCCTCTAGAAGTCCCCACGCAATGTGCTCCAGGTTCATGTCCCTGTGTCACTTCCCCATCCGGCACAACACAGGGCACAAGGACGGGTCCGTGACGCACCCACAGAGCGAGCTCCAGTGTGGAGAGGAAGTGGCTCACATCCAACACCAGCAGCATGGCCAGAGTCATCCCCACGTTACTCATCCTGGCAGCGGCAGAAATTCCCCAAACAACACAACCCCATGACTGCTGGCGGAGGGCAGCGAGCACGAGGACTGAGGGCTTTCCAAGCCTGGCCTCTCCGCATAACTCAGCACCATCCAAAGATAACCACAGGCCTGCTCAGCTGCTAAGACATGAGCACAGAGCGGGCAGCTGCAGGGCTACAGCTCACTCAGCACCATGGCAGTCCCATGCCTCATCCTCCCCGATGCCCCTCTGCCCCAGCCCAACCCTGCCCTGCTGCCACCCTACAGCAACTCACTCCCAGTTCTGCAAACATTCCTTGATTTTGACGGTGCTCACATCACTTTTCCCCCCAAATCCCAGTCTCCAGATTGCTCCAACTGCAGCACAGACCCCAACACCATAACCCCACGCATAGTGCTGCCCTGGAAAGCCAGTTCCCCATTTAACAGGATGGTTTCAGCCAGCCCAGGGATAGAGGGACGTGGAACAGCGGTGTCTGGAGGCAAAGGGCAGGGCAGGCTCCAGCTGTGGTGGTGGCAGGTGCTGCCCTGCAGCCTCACAGCCGCCGCAGGGAAGCCAGGCTTGCATGGCTTTTTCAGGGGACAAAGGAAGGCTCTGTCTGCATGCAACAGACTGGACAAATGCTGGCCATGGAAGCTGCCATCCAAGGAAAATCCAGACACAGCAGTGACTCTGCCCTGACCTTACCCCAGCCCAGATGGCACCATCAGTGTCCCCTTGTCTGACTGGCATGCACTGCAGCATTCTTGGGGATGGGGAGCACAGAGTGCCTGTCTGCACCGTGTCGCAGCTCTCACTACATTGCTGTGTTTTTGTAGGGTCTAAAACAAATCCTATGGATGTAAAGGGACAGAGCAGACACTTCCCTGTAAAGGCATCAGGGCCAGCAGGAGAGCAGGGAAAGAAATGCTCAAGATACACAAAGCCAAAACACGGGTACTTGCTATGGGGACAGAGGAAACAGCAAGGGGCTGCAAGCAGAGGGATGCTCACCACTGCCAGGAGATGGGCAGGCAGCTGGAGTACCTCACCGCAGCCTGGGACCGCAGCACTGGCCCTGAACTGCCACATCATCTGCTGCCATCCCAGCACCCAAAAACAAAGCATTTGTACACCCTGCTGAGCACCCCATCCCCTGGCTGAGGACACATCAGTACCATTCGGGGAGGAACTCACAGCCACCCCTCACTGCGGCCCCGCAGACAGCCAGGCAGCGGGATCAGGTAGCTGCTGAGGCAGCACTTTGCAAGTCTGCCCGGCAAAAAGGCTGGGCCACCGAACCCAAGGTCACAGCCGAGGACAGCTGAGGTCCCCCAGGGCCCAGCACGATGCTCAGTGCTCACAGAGAGCTTCTACGCTGTGGGGCAGAGGTCACGCAGGGAATTGCAACCCTCACCCCGGTGTCAGCATCTGTCAGGGATAAAAACCTGCCTGGAGTCCTTGTGTCGGGACAGAACAGACATCCACCTCTTCATGTCCCATTGAGCTCCTGCTCCATTACTTCAGGCCCCGCGGACCCATCCGGCTCTCTGGGGCCACAGAACAATAGGACACAACGGTGATGGGCAGAAACCAGCAAAAACAGAGAAGCTCTGTAGAAGAAGAAGCCACTCAAACTACACCTCGGCTCCAAGTCCTGGCCTCAGCCTTGACCTTGCACCCAAAGTGAACACAGAGCCAGCATCTGGCCTGGCACCCACCTGTGACAATCACATGAAAGTGGCTCTGACAGCACAAGGGCCAGGGAAAAATTGAAAAGTAGGAAAAAAATGGAGGGAAGGAAGAAACAAATCTTCCACATAAAAAGCAACTGCCATCCTCTCTAGATAAATAAGGGACAGAAGGTGCAACGCTGTCCCCGTGGCTTTGTGAACCCTCCTCCCACACCCTCCTTCCTTCCATCCTCATCCCTCACGCTGGCACATGCTATTTAAAACCTCCCGCTGGGAGCTCGGCAGCAGGAGAAGCCGCCAGCAACGCGACGCCGGTCCCTGCAGGCCCCGTATCGATCAGGAAGGGAGGACGAGCTGCCTCCGTCAGCTCCCTGCAGCCTGGCGCCGACACCACAGGAAGGGAGGAGAAGCAGCCCAGCGAGGCACACAGAGAGCACCGCCAGCACCATGCTCACCCCAAACCCCATCCATCTCTTTGTTCCAAATCCCAACCTACTGAGAACAGGTCCAAGAGACCAAGCTCTGGCTCCTGACCTGGGTTCTCCTCTCCAATGGTCTCAGGAGATGTACAGGAAGGTTTTGTTTTAAACAGCATGGATAAGGAGAAGTAGATCAAATGCAGGGACAGCCCTAGGAAGGGTGCTGGGACTCCTCAGCCTAGTCCTGCTCCTTCTGCCTCTTGCCAGGACCATGCCAGGACCTTTGCTATGCCTCTGCCCGGCTGAGGATGCTGTTAACGCAAGCGATGTTTATACAGGGCATGTATGGCTGTAATTATAGGAACGATGTTATGATAACAGGAAATCCGTGCCCTGTGGAGATACAGACAGAGAAATACACACTCACAGCTATTTGCTAATTGCCACCAACAAGGAGCCTTTGTGCAGTGGTGGGGCACAGGAGGTCTCCCCCATGCTGGGAGATAGCTTGGCGCCGCCAGGCTGGATCACTGCAGCACCCGAGGGCTCTCTCCTGCCAAAGGAACATCTCAGACCAGTTTGGCTCCCACATACACCACAGCATAAAACCTAAAGCACACTACTGCCAGTACAGACAGAGCACAGAGCCAGCCTTCCCACCCCACTATCTTCCAAAAAAATGCACCCATCCCTGCAAGGCAGGGCACCTCACACTGACTCAGACAGAGGAGGTGTGAGAATATCAAACCAGGCTAAAGAAATCCCCACTGCAGCAGTAAAAGCACAGCTCATCATCCCCTTGGTGAAGGGCCCCTCCAGAGCTGGAGCAGAAACCCCAACTCAGACCCTACTTCCTCCACTTCAACCAGATTCAAGATGCGAGAACAACAGTTACAGCAACTCTGAGCCCATGAAGAACCAAGAGAAGCTCCATCCTGCCCAGTCCAGACAAAACAGTGCTGCCAACACAGCTAAATGTTTCCCTCAGCACCAGCAGAGATGCCAACAACCACCTCTGCTGGCCCTTCCCAAGTCAGAAGCAAAGCAATATGAACCTGGTCAGGCAAAGCCAGTCCCACAACAGCTACAGTGCAAATCAACAGCTCTGAGAGACAACAGGACAGGCTGACCCAGTACCAGGACATGATCTCTCAGAGTTACAGCCTTTCCATAAGACGGTGGTTCGGTACATCTGTTTGGCAGAGAGGAGCAATGGGGATGCACGTTACCCAAACACAGCAAGGCTGACGCTATGACAGAGGTCACACTCCACCCTGCACCAAAGGGCCACCAAGTCAAGCAGACATCTCCCCATCAGCATGGAAGCATCCCTCATAATGCAGCAGCAGCTCTCCTACCTTTTTGATCTTCCCACTCCTTGTGCCTGCAAACACAACAGTTTGTCCTCTGTAGTCATAGGCAGCCACCGACGTCATCCCATCCTCTTTATCCACAAAAAGTGGAGTCCCCTCGATCGTGACGGTTCCGCCAAGTGGCTGGTTAAAATCCTGGCCACAGAAGTTGTCATCGATCTGCAGTGGCTGTGGGAAGAGAACAGAAGAGAGATGAGCCTTCTGGAGCATCAGAGAACAACAAGGGCTCACACTGACCTCCATCCCCACGGGAGGATGGAGCAGGGGCTGTGGAGGCAGCTCCCTCCCAGCCATCCCAGACATTCCGGCAGGCTGCAGTAAGCCACCGCTCTGGTTGGGGTGGAGTTGCTGCAGTCCCAGCTCTGCAAGCCCAGGAACAACATGGGCTAGGACAGAGCTCAGCTGCTCCCATCCCAATATAGACCTGGGCATGGGGATGCTCCTCACCCGCACTCAGCTGATGGTTTTGCTGCATCACTCTACCCGTACACCCTCAGGAGATCTTTGCCATTGCTCCTCACCTCTGTGTTCCCCTATTCCCCCCCTGTGCCCCAGAAGGGTATGAAGCACAGAGAGGGCACAGCTCTGACAGCCCAATGCGCTCATCCTTCCTTCTCCTGGCACTGGTTGGCATTAGGGTGAATGACAAAATCACAGCTAATGAAACACATTCCCTTGTTTCCATGACCAAAGCAGGACAGCAAGGAGGAAGAGGGGGCTCTGGCCTCAGTGCACAGGGCTGGAAGGGAGGCATCCTGAGGCACAGCGCCTGGAGAGGCAGGCAGCCTGTTCAGGCCACAATTTTCCACTTCAAGAGGCTCCTTATGTAACTTTGAATTTAAAGGGGAGAGGTTTTTGGCAAGCAACTGCCTCCAAATGCATGCCAGTCCCCAAGGGGCTTTAAATCCATACAGCATGTGCATGTAACATATGGGAAAATGCCGTGCTCCCAAGCTCCATGTGCATACACACACTAAGCAGCTCCGGCTGCTGAAAGCAACAGCCCCACCGCTTCCACCCAGCAATGAGATCTGAGCAGGGAGAACTACAGCCCAAAAACTGGAGGCTCTGACCATCCCACACCCCAAAAACAGCTCTCAGAAAAGCCGGACCTTCCCTGGGCTGTCAAATGCAGACGTGGTCACCCAGGCTCACTGTACAACCGCAAGGCCAGCAGTCCCGCTCTTGGCTGCAGTCAGCACCGTGCCATCCTTTCAGCAGCAGAGAAATGGGAATGAGTCCAGCTGGGCGCACACAGCCTCCTAAAGCAGTCTGGAGATGCAGTCTTGCTTGCTCAGTTGTTCTAAGTTCTGGTGCCTGGTTTAGGATGTAGGCACAGATTGACTCCTTTCCACGCCTGACCCCTTTTTTCATCCTTCTCTAAACTGTAGGAGCTTGGGGACATCCAAGCATGCAAATGCACCAATCCTCTAAAACAGGAACGAAGAGGTGAAGGATGCCTGCTGGTGTGAAGGAGAAGTGGGGAGGGAATTAGCTCTCCAGCCTGCACTCTGCATTCCAGGGCTGCAAGCATCCCTGCAGCCCGTCAGACAGCCCAGAGCTGGTCAGACAGCCCCGATCAAATTGGGGCAGGTACAGCACCCACCTCTGCCTGGCACCACCCCAAGCGGGGCAGCAGCACAGGGGTTAACACAGCCTGAGCCCTGAGCAGCCCTGAGCGCAAACCATGAAGGTATTTAAGCCCTGGCAGCCCCTGGAAGCCAATGCAATTTCTGTTCTCTCTGCACTTCAATTTGCAGCTTCCCCAACCTCATCAGCTGCTGAATATGCAAGAGGATAAATGTTTATGGTGTTTGCTCCTCTCTGCTTTGTCTCAACAAACTCTCTGGGAAACGACAAATACAGCTGCACTCCAGGGCCATGAGGAGCACCCGCCCGCCACCGAGATGCCGACACCACCTCGGTAAATAATTACGCCGACAATTAGCTCATTAACAGCACAGTGCCTCGTTAGGGAAGTGCAGGCAGGCACCTCACTGCGGTCGGGCTGAGTGGGCAGCATGAGACTGGTGACACCCACCAGCATCACATCCCGACTGCCCCACAGCCCTGCTATAAGGCACAGCCTGCTCCTCCCCACCAGCATAGAAACTGGGGCAGAAAACCCTGATTTCCCCAGTGAAGCAGCCCCAAGGAGAGGGGATACACCAAGCTGGCTTGGAACAGGCAGTCTCCTTGACGTGCCTTGTCTCATTGCCTCCCTTCAAGCCCACTTACAAAAGCAACAAGGGAGCAGACAGCAGAGGAGAGACTCGTGCCACTTAGCGTTATTAATTGGCCAGTAATTTGCCAGTTAATACCATTATACACACACCCCGTCCTCCCACGCCTGCCATTCAACACCTGCCTTCCTGTGCCTGCTGAGGCTGCTACCCAGCAAGGCCCATGCCCAGCACACAGGGCGGCACGCTGACACCAGGAGCCAGGCAGGGCACTTTGGGAGCTGGGTACCAACAGTGGGAAGCAACAGTGCACATCCCATCTGGAGCAGCAAAACCCCTGGAAGCACTCTCAGTTCCCAAGCTCACTGCCAAGCCTGGCAGTGTCTCCCAGCCCCAGCAAATCTGCACTGCCCCACAGTGCTCAGGGATTAGCATCCAAGGTCTCATAGCTGAGGAGAATGCTGCGCTAGGGTCTGGAGTAAGAAGGAAGCCAGCACCCGGGTCAGGAAGCCTCCCTGCCCAGCTCGGTGCTCAGAGCCATGCCCATGTGGTGGCAGGACAGCTCTCCCCAGCCTTCCTCCTCCCACCCAGCACAGTGCAGGTGGACCAGTCCTCAGGGATGTGGCTTTCTGGCACTGAGAAGTCCCTCTGATGTGCTAAGAAATGAGATTTGGACTTTCCACTTTCCAGAGGAGACTTTAAACCATAAATCCTGAGCAAGAGCAAGGGAGCTCCTGGGACATTTTCCATACAGATCAGGCGTAAATCCCGAGCAACTACTGACTTTAGCAATTACATTCTGCCTCCTTAAAAAAATCAACATGCCCTTTATTTTCTGGCTGGCATCCATCACTGCGAGATCCGTCAGCTGCCACAACCCACCCCAGAGGTGGCTGCATTTTACGAGGGGCACACAGATCCCTGCCAGAAAGAGGTTACATGCTCTGCAAGCCCCAATTTGGCTCACTCCCAGCACAGCCAGAGGCTGAGGCTTGACACCTTGTGCTGCTCTTTGCCATGCTTGGCAGGTGGAGTAGGACAGGGACAGAAAATGGCACCTGGCTCCCAAAGACGGCTTTGTGCCACCAACAACCCAACTCACATGAAAGTAATGACACTGCAGGTCCTCCTGGTGCCACTACCTCACACCTGCTGTCCCTGCTAGAGTTCCTCTGGAGCTGTGCAGGGTCCGAGTGCTGCAGTGGGGTTCCCATACACAGAGCAGCCGCTGCCTCTGCATCATCAAGGGAGCAGGTTAGCAGCACACAGCAATATCACTCTTTCGGATGGGAAAGGAAAAATAAGTAGCAGCATGTGCAACTCCACTTTACCTCCTGCACTGCACTGCAACCAGGGAACACCTCCCTGTTCCCATTCTCATCCAAGTGTCAAACCAGCCAGCATTTCTCTCCCCTTCCCACCACTATTCCCTGCAACAGCAGCTTTCCTGAGATTCATGGAGAAGTCCCTGTGCACCCACTGGTGCCTGTAAACTGCCTGCAGCAGAGACATCACGGCTCTGCAGGGACACAGGCCCCCACCTTCATATGGGGCACTCATCAGGCAAAGCCCTCATCCCACAACGGGGCAGAGAGTCTGGGAGCACATCGGGAGGAAGCAGCAGGCATCTCCTCTGTCTGAGCCAGCAGCTGTGCAACCCAACAAGCAGCAGTGTAACGATTTCATCATTTTCCACCAAAATTGAATTAGTTCAAAGCCAAAATCTGATTTGTGAGCCCAGCGCTCTTGACAGCAAACCCTTTACTTTGTCAGGCAGCTGTTAGCCGTCTCCTTCGGAGCTGCAGGGAGGACACGGGAAAGAGGCCGGACTGCTCCATGGGGACATGCAGGCACCCAGGGCAGGAGGCAGCTGCTGACCCCCAAGACCTTGGACAGGATGGGAGAAGGAGCATGATGTCCTCCCCTCCTGCCTCCTCCAGCATGGAAGACAAACCCAGCAACTGCAATTGCTCCCTGCTCCTCACACCCTTTCTCCTCCTATCCAGCACACGATAGAGAGGACTTGGTCACACCAATCTCTACTGGGACTACCAACCTCTCTGCCTCCTTCCCTGCTTGCATCCCTCTCAACTCCTCTCCTGCCCCAGCAGCTTCTGCTCAGCCACAGCTCCACCAAGCCCCACATGACCAAATCCTCCCAAATTCACACATGCCATCTTCAAGGGTCTCCATGGCAGAGACGCAGTAGACACGATTTGTCCATCTGAGGGCTGAGCATCTTTGCCCTCAACCAGCTCACCCACACCCCTTTACTCTATAGGGAACAAGAGACCTGTGCCAGCAGTCAGCCTCCCGCTCGGGGCCAGCAGCTATCAGCAGACACTGATTCAACCCAAACCCAGACAGCCTTCCCACACCAAAGCCACAGTCTCCACAAGGAATGCTACCAAGCAAGCTCAGCGCTCAGCCCTAACTGTGCCAGCCCCCAGAGCAAGAGAGAGGCCTCCCATCAGGAAAACAACAAGTCAGGTCAGGTAACTGGGAAGGGTCTAGAGAGTCCAGCCAGGAGCCAAAAACCACCTGGCACGCATACAGACAGGCATGAACTTACCGAGTTGATGCAGCCCAGCTCCTTATTCAAGAGCCAGGGCAGAGAGAGCTTCCCTTCCCCTCTGTAGCATGACTGAATACGTTCCTTGATCTTATCCTTGATCTTCTTCAACGTGAAGAGGCAGAGCACAGACTCCTTGGGAGGCTTAACTCTGTTTTTCTGGCCCTGGGAGAAGATGGTGAAGAGGATATCCTCCCGCTCCGAGATGCCCAGGTACTTGGCCAAAGCCTTGCCGGGCTTGGTCAGGTAAGCGTCCTGGATCAGGCGGTACTCAATGCCATCCTGCACACAGCCGATGGGGAACTCCACGTAGGAGTAGAACTTGGGGTCATCCACGCAGAGGCGGACGATCTTGGAGGTGAAAAACTGCTCACCAGTGGAGTCGGGTGAGGTGAGCTGGGTGTCCAGCTGCAAGGTCAGGTAGTACACAAACTGCTCACTGCTGAAGCTGTAGATGTAGTAGATGTCAAAGGTGGGGAACTTGGAGAGCGTGTCCGAGGGGATCTTAAGCTGGGACGAGACAAACTCATCCTGGTAGACAAAGCCAAACATCTCCGCATTCTCCTCATTGGCCATCAGCTTGCGGCTGGAGAGCGTGGGGAAGTACTCCGACTTGCCATCAATGGGCGTCCCAATGAAGAGCTTGTTCTGCCCGTTTAGCACCTCAATGATGACCCCAGACATGGTCCCCGACTCATTGACACTGGAGAGGTAGTGCTCCTTGCGGTGGTGGGGCTCACCCAACTTGAAGAGATCATCCAGTCGCAGGAACTGGCAGATACCCTGCGAGGCACTGCCGCAGGCGATCAGCCGGTTCCCCGAGTAGTCCACCAGCAGCAGTTTGTTCACGTTGTTGGTGGTGACCAGACCGTGCGGGCAGGACTGAACGCTGGGCGGAGGGTAACACTTTTCATTGTCCTCTACTGGCCCCGTCACGTGCGTCCGCAGGAGCGTGAGGTTATTGGAGAGCTTGTAGATCCGATTGACGGCCCCTACGTAGACCTCCCCGGTTTTGTTATGGACCACCAGGTGCGTCAAGCTCCAGTCTGTAACCGAGAAAGTCCTAAAGGGAGATTTAGGGCTGCCTTCCGCCAGCGGTAGCCAGGTGCTTCCCAAGAGCAGCAGGGTCCAAATGTTGACAGACAAGTGGTGCTTGAGCCAAAGGAGCCGCATCGCGGCAGTGTCACATCCGGCCAAGGCCATGCCCAAACCCAGCCACAAAATAAATAGAAACAAATCCAAACTAAGGGGGTGAGGAGGAAGGACGAGGAGCTAACAGGACACAGCCTCCTCTGCTTCTGCTGTGCTCAGCATTCAGGGCATCATGGGCACTGCCGGTCTGGTCAACCCTAGAAAGAGAAAAAAAACAGCAGGGTTAGGAGGCTTTCCTGCAGCTCCTGGCACAGCAGTAAGCCTGTTCCACGCCACCCCGCAGAGGCTTTGCTGCTTCATGCTTATAAGGCAGCATAACAAAATGCCCCCACTGCCTCCCACTCCAGAAGAAAATCTGCACAGGGACAGAGGGAACCCACAGGATGCTAATGGCCACTCCTCCCGATAGTACACACATGCTGCTAGGCACCGTAAATTCTACGCCATGAGCAGCCAAGGTGGTGACACAAAGGGGCTCAACTGCAAGCCCCATTATCCAGAGCAGCCCCCTACAAGGCCCTGCTCTCCTCCATGGAGCCCCTCAGCAGGAGCAAGCAGCAGCACAACTACAGCTGCAGCCGGGCCAGGCCGGCACATCCCCAGCAGGCAGCGGCCTCGCGATGTGCTCCAGCACACCAACCGCATACAAATGTCCCAGCAGGGCATCACTGCTCCTGACCTGCTTTGAAGACCACTGACAGCACCAAAGTATCAGCTGGTAGCAAGCAGACAGCCCACAGCCTCTGCACCATTCCATCACAGAATGGGGAACTGATACAAAAACCCAGTTTGCTCCCAGCTCATAAGTACAAAAGGATCCCAATCTCGCTGCCGAGCTGTGGGCATCCCTCTGAGCTCAGCCAAGAGAGGCACTTCCAGCCTCACACCATACACCAGTTACCCTTAGCTTAATTGGAGATCGGCAAGCTGGTCATTAAGAGGATGCTGCTTTTACAAAGAGGCAAAGGAAATAGAGATGGGGGGGGAAGGAGGAGATGGGAGGGAAAAAAAAAAGCACAGCTTTTGTGAATGAAGGAAGATGCAAACAGCACCAATTTACTACTCAAACAGTGCATGACGGAGCCTGCAGGAGCTGGGGCTTGAGCCCGGGTTGGGTGTGCAAGGCACAGTTCAAGCAAAGGATCTCAAAGTCTCCTTTTAAAGGAGCTGGGGGAGTCCTGGCATGCTGCCTGACAGCCCTGGCACCTGACAAAGCCCAGGAGGCTGAGGGCAGGAGACACTTCATAATGCAGGCGAAGGTCCATGGCTGGGAAGCGAGCTCAGCCCTTTGTTTCCCATCCCAGTTTTGCAGATAAGATGCTACGAAAGCAAGCGGGGAAGAGCCTCCCTCTCCTTATCACTGATCTCTGACTCAGCCCATGTGGGGATCACCCACTCCCGCCCAGCACAACGAGCAGGATCCCAGCAGGGAGTGGCACCAGTAAGAAATATGGCCTGTGGTAACTGCTGGGCTGTGCCAGCAGCCGTGACATCAGAGGGCAGCTGGTGCCATGCCAGCAGCACCGGGTCACACTCCTTGTCAGTGCACACAGACACTTTGGGCACCGCCTGCACACCTCTTCCAAACCTGGATCCTTATGGTGTGCCTGGCTCCAAAAGCTCTGTCCCAGCAGAGCTCCCTGCCCCTTCCACCTCCCCTCCAGATCCCAGGGCAGTATCCTTGAAAGAGGCTCCTGCAATAAGGTTTGAGCAACACAGGCTCAGACGAGTGCTGAGGGTGTAGGGCTACCAGCCCTGGAAATGGACCAGGTGGTCCCAATCCCACATCCCTGCCGTACTGCAAAATACAAGCACCTCAGACCAGGCTCTGCCAGACCCTATCAGAGCAGCCTGTGGGTTCAACCAGGAGGCTGTGCGGTTTCCTCTTGGGCTGCGGGTTGCCAGAGGAAGGTTCCTGCCCTCAGAAATGGGGAGGCAACCCTTACAAAGCAGACGATGCCAACTTCACCCGGGTCTTTACCTTCTCCTCCAAGCAAAGGAACCCACTGCTGAGCACGGTGACACCACGCACCCACTCCCATTGCTGCAATGCCCAGCAGCCCTCTCCTTCCAGCCTCCATGCGCCGCAGTTACACAGCTCCTCTTGCACAAAGGCAGCGACGCAGTGGCAGCAGAGGGACGGGGAGCTGGGAGCGATAGGAGGCACATGTGACCCAAACCAAACACAAACCCCAGCACGAGCACGGCTCTATCTACACAGCATGGGGAGAGGAACAATACCACAGCTGTGTCGCAAGATTACCATCGAAACGCAACCTGGCTTACGCACCAGCAGCACGTGGAGGTGAAGGAGAGAAAGCGGGAGTGTGGCTGCAACATGGGAACACCAAACCCCAGCACGGCACTGCTGGGACAGGGCAGTCATTTGCTCAGTGCGTTTCTAATTATTCATCGCTTCTATTTTAGGGAAGCGGGTATGAGAGCCAGAGGTCAGGCTGCTGTGCCAAAGCAGGGCTAGAAAGCCCAAAAGGAGATTCCCAAATTAATTTAGGGAACTGTTACTCAGAATTGGAACGAGAGCAAAGCCAGGCAGTGCTGGGGCACAGACAGATGACAGTCTGCAGAGCTCCTCAGAGACTTCTGCTCCCAAATACACGTCAGCAGCAAAACCTCATCCCAGTGCCCTGACACCAGCAGGGGCTAAGTACAGTAAGACCCGCTTTAAAGAGACATCAGCAGTGATTATAATTAACAGAAAAAGAGCAGGAAAGGTTAGTGAGTCTGTTTTCTTCAGTACAAAATGATTCGGGTTCCCAATAGCATCTTGCACCAGGGATCCCAATGCGGAGTAAAATATGCGCTGCAAGCACAGCCCCAAAGTATGGGCACCCCCAGGCTGGGAGAGCATGCTCTGGGAAAGCAATCATCACTCTTGATAACACAAAGCAGGAGTGCTGAGCTGAAAAAAAAAACACCTTAAAAGGCAAAGACTGGACAGAGCATCCCCTGCTGCCCCCAGCGCTCATGCTGCATGCCCGGGTGTCCTGGGCATGGCTGCAGCAGCACACTGAGAAAAGAATCCGTTTTCTTGCTCTGGGACTGCCCCAGTGACTCTACAGCCTGGCAGGAGTGCACTGAAATATAGGTTGGGTGAGAAAACTTGTGGGAATGAAAACCCTCCTAGCTGACCCCAGGAAGGACAGGAGCAATGAGAACTAACGGGTCTTTATCTGCAATCTCTGCAAGTCACTCGCTGCTCTCAGCGATAGTGCACGGACTGAGCAGGACCCGGCTCCATCTTCAAACACACGAGCTGCCTCGCTGCCAGTAATTAGCCAAAGGGAGAGAGGAGAGATTATACAGAGGAGAGAAAATCCCGAAGGCCACAGGAGAGCCAGTCTCACAATGCAGCGGGTGTATTTTTAGGTCTGTCTGCCTGGGAAAAGCCTTGCAACAATAAGAAAAGGCTGCTGGAGTTACCCAGTTAGAAGTTGCACTATATATGCAATCATCTGTAGCAAGGCCAAGATTTAACTCCTTTTTCCACCGCACACAGCCGTTAGGAACAATTTTGCTGGGATCCCTCCCTCCTCCCCAGCAAGTACAATCATTGCAATCCTTATCCCTGGCTGGAGCCAAGCCCTGATGAAATTAGTGGCAAGCACTGAAGCTGCCCCCTCCGACCTCAATCACAGCATCAGGAATCTCTCCCATCTTCAGAGCTCTCATTCCCCAGGGCACAGGCCAGAGCTGCATCCTGCCCCACACTGCCACAACCCCAAGGATTTTGACCTCTTATATCCCAAGGCAAGGAGAGTGCTTCTCAGGAGGAAGTGCAGTGCACCCCCTGCAGCCACAGGGCCAATACAATGACATGGAGACCACTTAACAATATTCTGTCCCCAGCTTCAAAGCACTCAAGTCCAGACCAAACCCCCAAAGACCACCTTCCACCTTGGTTGCTATGTTCCAGACTGTGGTTCTCACTGCAAACATCCCAAAAACCAACCCCACTGCCAGAGGTCACCTCAGCCCATCAGGAGTAGCAGCGAACCAGAAGCTCAGCCACAAGCCAGCTCTAAGCAGAAGTCCTCTCACCACCAACCCACCACAAGTGCCCTAACGCAAGGGCAGAGCGGATGCACCAGGAGGCTCCCAGTCTCTATCAGTGAATGGGAACAGGAAGATTTCTTTGCTCCCAGCACAAGGAGGTAGCACCAGAGCTGCTATAATCCAGCACAAAACCAGGCTAAGCTGAAATTCCCATTCTTCCACCTAGTCCCACTGTGAACCTACCACAATCACCAGCTCAAGGCACACACTGCTCATAGTTAAAACCGAATAAAGCAGCCAGGGGACAACCAACTATCTCCACTTCTCCAAAAGAGGTTTCCCCAGCCAAAGCCTAAGCTGTACCCAACTCTCCTTTCCTCTACAAGACCCCACACCACGCAGCAGGGCTGTGGGCTCCACACAGCCCCACTGTTTGCCCAGGGCGGAGCTGAACCACGAGCAGCCCAAGAGCTGGCGGAGCTGCGAGACAGGCAGAGGGGAAGCAAGCAGCGCCTGAAAGCGCTCCAACAGCAACAACACAAAGAAGGGAAACTCTGCTTTGAGAGGCTAACAGAGGTTTCATTCGCACGCAGGACAGGCTGGGAGCGTCCAATGAAAACAGCGAAGCACACGCATGCACAGAGCCAGAGGCTGCACCCGCACCCTGCTCCCGGGGCCAGCACACCAGCACGCTCCGGGGGTTCACCCAGCCAACGTGGGCAAAGCCTGCTAAGGAGCATGGATGCAGCGTGCCTGAGGGACAGCAGCCAGGATGGAGTGCAGAGAGATGGGAGGACACGTGCACTCCCGCTGCCAAAACCCCACTCCCTGCTAACGAGAGCGGCTGGATGGTGGCCCCAATGGGTGACGTCAGCCTGCGGAGGGCAGGGAGCCGCGTGGCTCCGCGGCATGGCATGCGGTGCCGAAAGCACGGGGCTGGAGGCACCAAGGCGGTGCTCACCCACGAGGTTGTGCCACCAGGAGCCGACCCAATATGCCCACGGGCACTGCCAACACGCAGGTGGCAGCGGGTGAGGGCTGGTGGCAACATAAGTCTGGGCTGCCTGAGCCTTACCAGGCTTGCCAACCCACGGAAGCTCTCCCTTGGAGGCTGATCTCTCGCCTGCCTTCCTGCCTTTCTCCTCCCCCATTTCTTCCTGATGACATCAGCCTGAAAAACAGGTTCTGAATCCTCACTGTCCTCCGGAGGGGCGAAGCCCCCCCCCTGCACCCTGACTCCGCTCAGTGCCACGTAGGTAGGAGCAGGGCAAACATCCCAGCCATGCACCAGCACTGCTGGCAGCAGAAATGCCCAAGGAGGTGCTGGAGGAGCCGATTTTAAACATTCCAGAGGCCTCAGTGGCTGTAAGCATCCCCACCACAGAGCACGGACAAGGGAGCTGTGCCCTCCCCATGCCTGGGTCAGAGTTCTGAGAGCCCCCATAGAGCCCAGCAAAACCTTTTGGGGGCCACCGCTGCATTCCAACTGACAGAGAACATTATTCTGCGAAACATCTTGCGCACGAGCCAAGCTGCAAGATTATTTTTAAAATCCTAAAATATTTTTAGGTTTTCCTCTTCCCCTGTTGAAGCTAACAGTCTGCACAGGAAGACCGAAACAACCGCCTGTATATAAAGCACTGCAGCACGCACAAAGCAAACAACTTACTGCCATTATAATTACCTTAGATGTTATCGGCGGCTCCGACAGGGTCGGCACTCGCTGGAGGAAACTCGCATGGCACTGTGGAATCCTTTCTGCAGCCCCAGCAGCACCCAGCGCGGTGTTGCCTGCACAGAGCCAGGCAGCTCCTTCCCCGAGCACCGGGATCTGCCTCTCCTCTCACAAGGGATTTACTTCTGCAAGGGCTTGAATATTTTGACACAAAGGCAGTTGCTTAACCAAGCACATAAAGCAAAGGGACTCTCAGAGCTTCTACGATTACACCAACGCTTGGAGATTCGCCTGGACGGCAGCCAGAGGCCCCATATCGCGGAGGATCAGACCCAGGACACAACCGGGAGAAGAAACGCCGGGGATGGAGCGAGGCTGGAGCCGGCTCAGAGCGGGGATGCAGCCGACTTCCTGCTCACACAGCAGCACGGCTCCTCCTAACCCCTCACACGCCGCAGCCCTAAGCATGAATCACCCCGCACGGACCGCTCCCCAGCACCCGTGCAATTAACAAGGTTGTTGGGTTTTGGGTTTTTTTTTCCCCCCCCTTCAGTATAATTATACAAATTTTCATGCAATTACCGCCCCTGTATTTTGTACATTAAGCAGTAGGCAACCAAAGGAAGAGACAGACTTTAATTTTTTTTGGCTTTGCGTTCCTGAAAATAATAGCGGATCGCAGAGCGGCCACATAGAGAAGGGTTTATCTGCACAGGGCACAGGGAGAGCAGATGGAAAAAGGGAAGATCCCGCAGCCCCCCAGGTACCTGCATGGAGGCCCAGCTCCAGCTCAGCCTCTTGCCCTGCTGGAAAGGAAAAGCAAATCAAGCAAATGGTCGGCAGTTACTCAACCCCAAAGCCGGGGTCATTAGCCAGATTAAAGTGCCCGAGCTCCGGCCAGCAGCGCGGATAGCAAAGTGCAGTTAAACGGCCCAAATTGGATTACTGCCGCTCCTCGGCCTCCGTGCCAAGTTGGCCGGCAGACGGCAGGAGGCGAGAGGCTGAGGGGAGGCTGGGGAGGAGGCCAGGCCACTGCTTAGACCCACGGATCCCAGCCCAGCAGCCGTAATGCGCTCACACGGACACTTTCCCCAGCTAAAGCCCTCAGAATGCAAAGCAATCCTCTTGGAAAAGGGGCCCACGCGCTCCTCATGCCCAGCTCAAATCCTGCTGGCTGACGCACACCTCAACACACCGTGCAGCAGCCTGTGGGGCTGAGCTCAGCAACTTGCGTGTATATGGGGGGGTTTACTGATTCCATACATGGGCAGCAAGAAGAGGGTCTGCCAAGCTTTGGCTAAAGGGAAAAACAACTTCTGGATGTTTTAATGCTGGGTTTGAAATGGTGGCTTTCACATGGAACAAAGGCTGGGGGCAGAAGGATGCTGGGGAAGTGAGACCAAGGCAGGCACCAGCCAGCTCCCAGCAGGCCCCAGGCACATGCAGTGTGCCCCAGGTGGGGAATGCGAGGTGTCTGCCTGAACCTGGCATGAAACCCATGGATATCGCTTCAGGTTCCTCCTCCGCAGTGCATGAGAGCACCCCCAGGACTAAGACTGCACACAGCCAAGGCTGAGGGTCCAAAGCAGTGCCAGATCTTGCATTTCCACCATGAATCCACAATGGAGTGCGATCCCACAGCATAGCCAGGGCACACCATGAAGGAAGGAGGTGGCTCCCCCCAGTTCCCATCAGCTCAGCACAGGTTTCAGTGGGCATCACAGCTCAGCTCTGCCAGGAGAAGGGCTGCAGCCCTGTCCAGCACACCCTACAGGGCAACTCATTGCCCAGGACCAGCCCAGAGCTCCCTGAGCCTCTGCACAGCACACACTGCCTAACGACACAGCGCACAGGAGACACTCACAGAGCACAGGGCAGCAAACAAGGTTTCCGTAGGCATAATCTCACCAGCCGTGCAGAACACAAGCTCGCAGAGAGCCTAGCAATCAGCAAGGACAGCATACGTGCCCCATGCTCAGCTCCCCATTGCAGCACAGAGAGGCAGCAGCTCTTCTGCACTGCCAGGGCTGCCGAAGCCACCCTGCTGCTTGGGGACAGGAGTGACGGCAGCACCCTGCACACAGACAAAGCCAGGCGGGATGCAGGTGGATGCTGCGGGCAGCGCTACCCGCTCTCAGGAGCCTGGTGGTGTGAGCACTGCAGCACTGGGCTGCTCCACGCACACATCTCAGCGCTGCCTGCCAGCAAACGCTGCAGCTCCTGGGCAGCAACAAAGGCCCCCGACATGCACCGAGCGCGGGGAGCAATGCTTACAAGCCTCCCTCGTTAAGCCCAACCCTTGGTCCCTTCACACAAGGGATGCTGAACGTGGCAAACCCCGGGGAGGAACCGCCTGGCCCCGCAGCTCCGTGCCAGCAGCGCTGCAGCTGCCGGAGGAGGGAGCGGCCTGGCGGCACACGGCAGCACGGCTCCGTCACCCGCTGCCATCTCGGCAGCGCCCGGCCGAGTTCGGAGGAGTTTGTTTGTGTGTCGCAGGGCCCTCTGCCTTCCGCAGGGCAGCGCTTTGTCTTTGCACAGCGAGCTACGTGCTCCACTCCAAACCTCACGCGTCTATAAAATAAAGAAGGGAAACCCTCGAGGCTCACTACAGAAGGGCTCCAGCTGCAAGCGGCCCCAATAAAACCCCACTAACAAACACAACACCACCAAAACCTGGATTTCTGGAACGCGGCAGAGCACAGATACCAACCATCTCCCATTGGGGACACAGAGCCCAGCCACGGAATGTCACCGCGCAGCTCACGGGGACGCAGCCTGGCACACGCAGCCTGCGATTCGCCCATCCATCCCTCCCTCATTCCCCGACTACGGATCCGGAGCCCAAACTTCCGCGCCACCCACACGGCCCCGCACTTCGGCATCCGCTGCCGGCGGCGGCACCCATCCCTCCCTTCCCCTCTCCTCCTTACAACCCCCCCAGGAACGCCCGTACAGCCCGCCGGGCTCAGCCCCGCTGCTCCTCCACCGCATTCGGTCATCGGTGTCTTGAGACAGACATCGCGCCGCTCGCTTTACCCACTGAGTATATACAAAAGACCCTGAGATTGTTCAGGAAGCAATTAGCCGCTGTTCGGAGGAAAACGGTGTTTTCAAATGGATAACCTTTGATGTAGTCAATAGCCTCGTCTCCTCTTCCCCCCCCCTCCTTCCCCCCAGTCTCACACAAAAGAAATAGAAGAAAAAAAAAATCCGGCTGGTAATTGGCTCCGCACGGAGCCGCTCGGCACGAAGCGATCACCGCCCGAGGAGCGGCCCCGCGCCGCGGCTCTGCCCAACTTTTCTCCCCTCCGCGTCCCGCAGCCTACAGCGGGACCGGCAACACCCATCGGCGCGTTCGCAGGTTCTGCTTTCCGGCCGTCCTTCCCGAAGCACGGGGACGGGGGAGCGAACGAGTGAGGTTACTGCCTTTCTTCCCCCATCCATCTCCCCGCTAAGCAGTGACCTTCACGTCCAGCCCCGGCTACACGCCAGCCCCCCGCCCCGTGGGCAGGAGGGAGGAATTTCCCCTCCGGGAGAACGGAGGAAGGGATTTCGGGATCCATCCCAGCGCAGCGCGGAGCAGCTGCCGATCCCCGCCCGGAGCCGGGCGCTGTGTGCAGGGGTAGCCGGGCCCCCGCCGCCTTCTCCCGCAGCGGCCGCTCCGCTCCGCACCGCACCGCACCCCCTCGGGCTCCGCGCCTCTCCGCCAAACTACGGCGCGACGACGACGGTAACCGCTTCCAACGGCGGAACCCAATCACGACGCCGGGTGCCCTCGGAGCGGCTCTGCCCGATGGCCAAACGCGCCCGCAGGCTCCGCCCGCAGCCCCGCGCCGGCAGCCGGGGCACACCGAGCCCTGCGGCGTGCGGGGCGAGCCCAGCCCGCTCGGAGCCGCGCCCCGAGCCCCGGGCACGTAGCGGCGGTGCGGCACCGGGGGGACCCGCAGCCCCACGCCCGGCCCCGCCGCCCCCCCGCCGCCCCGCCCGGGCGAGCCCCGCTTCGGCCACGGCTTTCTTTTTTCTTTTTTTTTTTTCCCGGGAATGCCGATCCCATCGGATTCCAACCCCGAATGCCGATCGCTCAGCCGGGCGCCTAAAGGCACGCGGCGCGGAGGAAAGTTGCAAGCGGGTTACTCACGGCTCGGCTCCGCGCTCGCCCCAGCCCTGCCTGCCATAACCGCATTCCAGCCGCGCCGCCGCCGGGCCCCGCCGCCGCTGCCTCTGCCTCTTCCTCCGCCTCCTCCTCCTCCTTCTTCTTCGCCGTCGCCTCCTCCTCCTCCGCGCCCTCCCGTCGCCGCCCGGGGCTCCGCGGCTCCGCTCCCACCCGCCCGCCTCGCGCCGCCGCCGCTGCCCCGCATGAATGGGACGGCGGCGCGGGGCCCCGACGGAACGCCGCCCGCCGCGCGCCCCCGCTGCCACGCGCACGCGCACGGCCGCGCCGCCGCCGCTGAAAGGAGGGAGGGGGCAGCACCGCTCCCGTTAAGCCTCCAGGGGGCGCCCGCGCCGCTGCGGGGAGGCGAGAGGCGGGAGCTGGCCGGCCACGCCTTCTGCTCCATCTTAAAAGGGCGATGGCTGGTGGGAGGTGGCTTAAAAGAGGCTGTGAGTAGGGTGGGGCCGCTTGCAGGGGGCACCTCAGGAAAGGCCGCAGATATCCTCGTCACGCCTCCAGCCGGCATAGCGGGGCTCAAACCGGCTACCCTGTACGCTCCAGAGCCCCTCCACCCAAGAAAAGTGCTGTGAGGACAGCAGCATCCCCAGCCCTCCACGGCCATAATAGCCCCCAAAGCACCACACGCACCAGTCTGCACAAAACATGTCGGCAGATCTACACCAATCTGTGCAAAACACTCATAGAAACAACGGCAAGGAGGGGGACATAAGGGAAACATCCCCCCCGAGCTACACAGAGGTGGTGTGCTGCCTTGTCCTGCTGCCCAACAGCCACCTCAGGCCCAGCCGCCATCTTGTGCCCTCCATTACTCTGTACCCTCACAGGGACGCTCCCTCACGGCCTCCTGCCCAGAGGCCCCACACACGATCCCTGCTCGCCCAGCCCAGTCCGATCAGCGTGGGGGCTGAAGCCTCACACAGCACCGCCGATAAGGGCTGGACTTTGTTCTCAGAGCTGTCAGCTCAGCATCTTTCCGCTGGTGCTGCGTCCGCATAAATTTACCAATGGGAAAAATAGTAAAAGCCATAAAAAAGACAAATGGGTGCCTTGAGTTGATTATTTGTCTTTTTAAAACACGCTCGGTGCCAGCCATTTTTATCACCATCATTTTCTCCTTTCGTTTTCCCTCCCACCAGGCCATGGCTTCCCCATGCCACGCTTTCTCCCCTGCCTGTTCTTGCAGGTTTGTGTAAGGCCCACTGCTCTGGCATCCCTGGGCCAGGATGTGACCTTTTAAAAGGCAAATAGAACTAAATAACATCTTCATCATCAGGGCTGCACCTCCCCTGATTTCACCAGAGGCACAGGGGGTATAAGTGGTGTGGAGCTGCAGTCCTACCAGGAGATGGAGGGATGACCATTGATGCTCATTGCATCATGGAGCCCATGATCTCCCTCATGCTGGGGGTGCAAACCTGGGAGCCCTCCAGACATAAAAGTCCACAGCCCACCAAGACAGAATCACAGACCTCTAGGACACTGACTGTGTCCCTCAATGCCACATCTCCACAGCTCCTGAACACCACCAGGGGTGGTGACTCCACCACCTCCCCAGGCAGCCCTGTATCAATGCATTACTACCCTTTCTGATAAGAAACATTTCCTAGTATCCATCTTGAAAGATCACAGCCTCCAAACCCAGCCTGCAGGCCATGGGGGTTTCCAGGCACAAGCACTGCAAGGGCAATAAACACAGACAACTTCCTCACCCTGAGTGCAGCCAGCCAAATCTTTATCTCCACCAAATTGCACCACTAAGACACACTTTGCCCTTTAGACTCAGAGGCACCGATGAAGTTTGGAGGTGCCAGCCATCAATTCTGTTGCAGGAACGCGTGGGCTCACCTTGTAGAGACACGTAGAGATGCTCAGCCACATTCAACATGCGTGTTTGCTTCTGCCTGTGCCAGCAGTTACAGGCATGTTCAGATCTTCACCCAGGCTGAAAGCACTATTCATGAATGCGGGGAGACCTCCTTCAGCCAGGAGAGTGCAGAGGTCACTGCTTGGCCCTTGGGAGAGGCAGGAGAGTGGGACAGAGAAGAAAAGAGGCCCTTAGAAGCTCTGGAGGGGGTAGGAAGGGAGTGGAGACCAGCTGGTTTGGATGGATGTGACAAAGTGCTTTTTACTTCCAACCCCACAACACCTGTTATGTCTTACTTAAAGCCCACTAGAAAACAAAGATGGCATCCCAAGATGCAGACACAAGGTCTCTCTCAACCCAAAGGGGTTCTTTTCCTCAGTTTTTCTCTCATATATCCCCCCTTCCCTGCCCCTGTCAGCATCTGTCATGTGGAGGCTGGGGGCTGTCACATCCCCCTGGGACACCGCATTGGTGCCTGCCATTCTCCCACCTCTTATTTGTGCACAGGCACACATGGGGCCCAGACTTAAAAGCTTTTGAGATGGAGGAGAAGAGAGCAAATCAGCTTGCTCTGATGGCAGGGAAGTGGCTGGGGTTTGGATCATTTCCCCCAGACTGAAAGAAGCAGTTCTCTTTTTTTCTTTCTTTCTTTTTTTTTTTATTATTATTCCCTCCAAGAGACTAAATTTAGTGAATTCATTTCACATTAAAAACTTGTCAGGTATTCACATCCAAAGAGGCTGCTACTTGGGTCTCTCAGGGGAGTTACTGAGACAGCGAAACCTCTTAAACATATAAAGAAGAAGGGAGAGATATTCAGGCAATCTCCCACTGCCGCTTTTAAATCCTCTCTCTCGCAGGAGGGCTGCACGGGCACCTTGCTCTCATGGCCACTATCTCATGCTGCAGATGCAGAGAAGAGGGGATGGATTATCCCTTCCTCGCTCCTTGCACAGGATGGGATCATGCAGCTCCTGATCCCCAGCTCAGCACCAGCAGGAAGAGAGATGGAGTGATTTGTTTTTGCTGATAGGGAGAGTGATGGATGGTCAAAGCAGTGATGAGTGAAACAGAGGTGGAAGAGCTCAAAAAAGAGTCCCGGCATCACTGTCACCAGCACACCTCCTGCCACCCAAGGAGCTCCAGCCGTAACAATTAGGGCCATCTGGGGGCAGATGGGTCCTCCAGGGGTTGGTGGCAGAATAAGGACTGGCCACAGAACTGTGGTTACAGTTACAGTTTTATTACTGCTTAAACACTTTAGCAATCAGGGTAACTCATCTTCAATTTCTAACAGTTAACATAGCATATTGGCTGGACTAGATGATCTTTGTGGTCTTTTTCCAACCTTAGTGACTCTATGGTTATAAAATGGCATTGGTGATGCTAAACATATTACCAGAGGTCAGGAGCAGGGTGTACCAGTCACAGAGGAATAAAAACAAGCAAGAAACACCAGGAGCCCCATGCCAAGAGCTCAGTGCAGAGACCTGGAGCAAGGCAGGGGTTTAAGCCAGAGTGGGAACAAGCCTCAGTTTGCAGTGACCCATTGAGCCTGTGGACCTCCTATAGCCATTCCGATGTGCCCAGAGGGCATGGGAACACGCTTGTCACTCAGGGCTTTTCCCCTAGAGCCCAGACTCCTCACCCCTGCAGCAGGATCCTCGTTAGCACAGAAAGCCTGGTCCTGCCTCTATTGGCCCTGTAATTGCTCTGCTCCACCCCCAGCATTGTGCATCCTCAACCCCCTGGAGCTGACAGACCTCCAAGGACTGACAGCCACTGCTCCATCCCGCCTGAGGACAGCTGCTTGAATGGCACCTCAAAGGCACTCCAAATTTCAGAGCTCGGCAGGATGCTGGGCGGAAGGGTTTGAGGCAGAAGATGACTTCGTTCTCAGCTGGACCAAAACCACAGAGGTTACGGGTTCGGCTGGCTCGTTCTCATTATGCTAAAAGCATGTGGCTGACTCTGCATTTCTTAAGCAGAACTTTGACCAAAATTACATTTAGATACAGTCTGTTCTCGGTGTGTCTGGTGCACTTCCCTACCTTACCGAAGAGACCGAGGGGCATTGTGTTCTCTAAAAGCAGCCTGATAACTACTTTGTAAAAAGAAACTAATTGGGAGAGGATTAGATCGCCAAAGAGAGCCAGAATAGATGGGAAGTTGTTCCGCTCAGCTCACCGGGTTAATCCAGTCCAACTGAGTGGTGAGGGGCTATAAATAAGCAGCTAAATTTGTGATTTTTCAACCATTTCTGACTGCTAAAAATTTCCCATTGGGAACGCAGACTTCTACACAGGTCTTCAAGCACAAATCATCTGCCCTGCTCACCTCCCATAGACCATCTGAAATGGCTCCCCAAGAGCCTGCAACCACAGGTTTAAACCCTCCGTGCGTGTAGGAATAAATTCAGTGCCTTAATCCCAGAGGCCCTTTCTGCTGTGAGATGTGCACAGAACAGCCTGCAACACAAATTTGGTCTTTGATACTCCACCTCCGTAGCTCTGCTCTGTCCCAGAGCATCCTCTGGAAGTGAAGGGGCCTCAAGAAGAGATCAGTTCTGCACACTTGCCAGCGACGGGGCTTTTTTTCTCCTCCTATCCTCACAGACATCACTGCTAATAAAGAAGCGGGGAGCGGGAAGCCTGGGCAGACAGGCTGGGGAGGCAGCACAGTGCCCAAACAGAGGGTTTGTCAAAGTTTTCCAGGAGGCGTCAGCAGCTCTTTAAGCTT